AACAGAACTGCTTTGGATTCTCTCAATTCTGTCCAGCCATTCCTCCTCATCCTGTCACTGTGTGGCTTTGTCAAAAATCCCTCCCAGCTCTTCTGCAGACACATTTTGGACACTAAAACACCCTACAAAGTCTTCTTCTTCACCACATCGGCATTTCAGGGAGAGATGAGTTTAAAGCCCCAGATACTCAACCTTTTCACAGGATAGATGAATTTAAAGCTCTGGATACTCAACATTTTCAAGGAGAGATGAGTTTAAAGTCCCAGTTGCTTAACATTTTTAGGGTGAGATGTGTTGAAAGCCCCAGTTGCTGGACGTTTTCAGGGAGAGATGGATTTAAAGCCCCACATACTCAACGTTTTCAGGGAGAGATGAGTTTAAAGCCCTGCTTGCTCAGCGTTTTCAGGGACAGATGAGTTTAAAGCCCCGGATACTCAACCTTTTCATGGGAGAGATGAGTTTAAAGCTCTGGATACTCAACGTTTTCAGAGAGAGATGAGTTTAAAGCCCCAGCTGCTCAACGCTTTCAGGGAGAGATGAATTGAAAGCCCTGGTTGCTGAACGTTTTTAGGGAGAGATGAGTTTAAAGCTCTGAATACTCAACGTTTTCACTCAACGTTTTCAGGGAGAGATGAGTTTAAAGCCCTGGATACTCAACGTTTTCAGGGAGAGATGGATTTAAAGCCCCACATACTCAACGTTTTCAGGGAGAGATGAGTTGAAAGCCCCAGATACTCAACATTTTCAGGGAGAGATGAGTTTAAAGCTCTGGATACTCAACGTTTTCAGAGAGAGATGAGTTTAAAGCCCCAGCTGCTCAATGTTTTCAGGGAGAGATGAATTGAAAGCCCCAGTTGCTGAATGTTTTCGGGAGAGATGAGTTTAAAGCCCTGGTTGCTCAACGTTTTCAGGGAGAGATGAGTTTAAAGCTCTGAATACTCAACGTTTTCACTCAATGTTTTGAGGGAGAGATGAGTTTAAAGCTCTGGATACTCAACGTTTTCACTCAACGTTTTCAGGGAGAGATGAGTTTAAAGCTCTGGCTACTCAACATTTCCAGGGAGAGATGAGTTTAAAGCTCTGGATATTCAACGTTTTCAGGGAGAGATTAATTTAAAACCCCAGTTGCTCAACGTTTTCAGGGAGAGATGAATTGAAAGCCCCGGTTGCTGAACGTTTTCAGGGACAGATGAGTTTAATGCTCTGGATACTCAACATTTTCAGGGAGAGATGAGTTTAAAGCTCTGGTTGCTCAGTGTTTTCAGGGAGTGGAAAGGCTCAACCATGGGGCTGGTGATGTCACACAGGACACCGGGGCCCTGCAAGGCATCGCAGCCATCTGGATTCCAGCTTGCATCATCAGCGAGTGAATCAGGCAGATAACGAGGCCACCGCC